GAGCCCTTTCCGAGCCCCACTCTATTTGAAAAATCAACGAAAGCAACTACAGTGAAGTTTGTATTTTTCAATCAATTCCCTGAGTAATTTAACTATCCAAAAACCCCCCATTTAGTCTTGCCTCTCACAAAGGAAAGTGGCAGGCAGGCCCCTAGGTGATTGGGTTTGGTGGCTGCTTTATGAATTATCAATATATGCTTTTCCAAATATAAAAATCAATACTTTTCTCAAAAAAATAAAAAATAAATAAATAAATCAAGTTGCCTGAATTATCAGTATTTATTGCACTGGCTCTCGCTGAATCTTGCCACAAAATATCAAGTTGGCTTAAGTTGATTTTTCTATCATTGACTCCACATTGACTTACCTTCAACGACTTCATCTTTCCCAACCTTCAGTCAAGCTCTGCTTTCCTCATTTTCTCCAGACCGAAAAACTCAGCAAAAATCACACCATGCAAATGGAAAAGCTTCTTCTTTTTCTCCTCTTGTTCTTCTCATCAATCCTGCTTTCCCCTGCAGATTACACTCGCCCAGATCACTTCTTCATCAACTGTGGCTCAAAAGCCAACTCCAGCCGCAGCGATGGCCGGACCTTTATCGGGGATTTGATCTACCCAGGTGGTTCCTTGTCTTTTACCAAGCAAAGAAGCTCTGTGATAACCAACAGCCAGACATCAGATGTTCTGTACCAAACAGCAAGAATTTTCAAGCAGCAGTCTTCCTACAAGTTTGACATCGACACTGCTGGGATTTATCTGGTACGTCTTCATTTCTTCAATTCAACTGATGTCTCCACAGCTGTTTTTTATGTTTCGACTGATCGAGTTTCCCAGTTGAAAAATTTCACCATTCCAAGAAGCAGTACCAACGATAGCAATTCTCCCCTTATAGACGAATTCCTCCTAAACATCCCTCAAGGAAAATTTTCGATCTACTTTACCCCTCAAGGATCCTCTTTCGCCTTCATAAACGCCCTAGAAGTCTTCCTTGCCCCAGAAAATTTCATCCCTGACAAGGCTCCAACACCAACTAATAAAAAGTATACTGGTATCCTCTCCAACGCTTTACAGACAATTTACAGAATCAATGTTGGGGGAGAAACAATAACACCAGAGACTGATACCTTATGGAGGACATGGAAGCCTGATGATGAGTTTTTATATAATCCGAACACGGGAAAGAGCGCATCAACTTCGGGTTTGCCTAAGTATAATGGAGAAGTTACTAATTATATTGCACCTGCTCCGGTGTACCAAACTGCCAGACGGATGAACACAGATGGTGGTTCTAACTTCTCAAACATATCCAATATTATGACGTGGTCCTTCAGTGTGTCTAAGAATTCTAGCCATTTTGTTCGGGTTCATTTTTGTGACATTGTTGGTACATCAGTGGGTAGCATTATATTCATTTTGTACCTAAATGGCATCGACCCTCAGAAAGTCGATTCCTATGAAATATCAGGCGACTTGCTTACTCCGTTTTACTTGGATTTTGTAGTTGATTCTGATGAGTCAGGGGTTATGAATATCTACCTTGTTCCCTCGGAAGATTCACCGGAGGTTCTTATGACATATTTGAATGGAGTGGAGATAATGGAGATTATAGGGGAATTAAATGTAGTTATCGAGCCAGATAAAAGTAAGAAAACTGTCTTCCTTGTGGTCGGTCCTGTTGGGGGTCTACTTGTTTGCGTCTTGGCAGTTGGGTTGTTTATTTTTTTGAAGAAGAGGAAGAGAAGATCGGTTGAAACTTCAGTTTGGTCGCCGTTCAATGTACACGGCGGCGGAAGCTCCAATAGCAAGGGGACTGACAGAACCATCAATGTCTTCCGGTTCCCAAATTTGAACCTTGGCCTGAGAATGCCCTTCACCGAAATTCAGTCTGCTACAAACAATTTTGATGAGAAGCTGCAGATTGGAAAGGGTGGATTCGGAAATGTTTACATAGGAAAATTCAAAAACGGCTCGAAAGCTGCAGTAAAACGGGGTCAACCAAGGTCCAGCCAAGGGTTATCGGAATTTCATACAGAAATCATGATCCTATCCAAAATCCGCCACCGCCATCTTGTTTCCCTGATAGGATACTGTGATGAAAGGTCTGAGATGATACTGGTATATGAATTAATGAAAAATGGAACATTGCGGGATCATCTTTACAAAACAAACCTGCCCTGCTTGCCCTGGAAACAAAGACTTCAAATCTGCATCGATGCAGCTAGAGGCCTTCATTACCTCCACAAAGAATGTGCTGGCGGAATCATCCATCGTGATATCAAGTCGACGAACATCCTGCTCGATGAAAACCTCATCGCCAAAGTTGCAGATTTCGGGCTCTCCAAGTCAGTTCCAATGGATCAAACCGATGTAAGCACAGGGATCAAAGGCACATTTGGTTACCTAGATCCTGAATACTTCAATACACATCAATTAACTGAGAAATCCGATGTTTACTCCTTCGGCGTGGTGCTTCTTGAGGTGCTATGTGCAAGACCAGCTATTATTAGTGGAGATCCCCAGCTTCCAATGGAACAGGTGAACTTAGCGGAATGGGGACTTCTATGCCACCGAAAAGGGTTGCTTGAGACGATCGTGGATCCATCAATAAAGGGTCAGATCAATCCCAACTCACTGAGGATATTTGCGGAGACGGTAAAGAAATGTCTGCTAGAAGATGGTGCGAATCGACCTAGCATGGACAAAGTGCTGTGGGACTTGGAATATGCTTTACATCTCCAGCAAACTGCAGTGTACAGAGAGCCTCATGAGGACAGCACCATTGATGCTACCTTTGGTTTGCGATTGGTTAACGTCCAACGACTCCCTTCACTTAGCCTGCAAATTGAGAAAGACGACATGCCCATTTTGAGGGACAGCACTACAGATGAGGCTTTCCCATCTGCTAGTGAGTTTTTTCACAACTGAGAGTCAACGGTGCAAGATAAGGCCTTTAATTCTCTTTCAAATTGGTCTTTAAATGTGAGGCTATACTCTGCATTATGATCAGTCCATC